TAAATGAGGAATTCTCCAGTTTGAAGCAATTAGCATTTTTCAATGTTTTTATAGTTTGGATATTAATATTATGCAGACTTGTGAATTCTGAGACCAAGTGAAGAAACGGTCAATGAAAGACTGCTGTAAGCATTAAATGTCATGTACTACTCCCCCCCCCTCCCCCCGCCCATTTGAAAAAGCACTCTGAAACATCAAATAGTCCTCTCACCCCTTCTAAAACAGCATAAGAATTTGATGAATTTGAGATGTGACAGTCTTCGCGTAATGCTTACTTTCAGACTGAATGATATATTTTTTTTCTGTATACATATTTCACAAAGACTACTTTCTTGATTGACTTCTGCATTGTTGATTGCTTTTTTCCTCCAGCATCATTATACACATACTCTGAGTAAAAGAGAGTGACTCGCAATGCATTTTAAACTCGCCTCCAATTTTAGAGCATTTTCTTGACTTGTAAACTCTTCTGTGAACCAGGTTAAAACATCCGGCTTCTCATTAAACTGGTTTTATGTTACGAGTAAGTAATAGGCAAGCATCTTGTCTGGAATGAAGCCTGTGAGCCAGCATGTGCTATGACTTAAAACTCCAGAAAGGGAATCATTTACTGAAATGTCTTTGATTGGGTTTTGTTTTCATGGGGATCTCATGAATGTCTTAGTCAATGGCTACCAAATCGGAAGTCTGTTACTTCATAGTCAAGCCCCATTCTGTCTATGAATTTAATGGTGTGTTGTGTCAATATGTTGTTATATGCTGGATACACTGAACTTGACTGTATTAAAACCTTTGAGGTCATGGAGGTCTGCTGACCTTTGTCATTTTGTTAAATATGAGGTTGTGCTTTCTGTTATATTCCGTAGCGGATGCATCCTTTGACCATCTGTCAAGTTGAGAGAACCTGGGTGCTTAAGGCATTCGGAAGACTAGCTAATCCCTATTTAGGCTTGCGTGCATGTCTTGCTGTATGAGGTCTGAATTTTTCAGCAAAGCCGCTCACCTTATAAGCAGGCATCGGGGGCATGGAACCTTCCCCGTTAGCATAGGGGGTTCCTTAACTGTGTCCTGTGGTATGCACTGCTTTGACTGGGAAACTCCTCTGTTTCTCAGTGCCTGATCAGCATGCCAGTTCACACAGGGGCTTAGGGGAGAGACACGACGGCCTTTCAAAGCACCACTGTTTTCCATTTGAATTATTAAACTGCCCTGTGGTCTGCGCTCCCTTTGACCTCCATAGCTGTCCCTCACTTATCTTGGCCTGGTGTCATGGAGCTTCCCCATAAGCAATTTCATGTGAATAAATGGAGAGCATTAGGGTGTGTTCATGTTGTGCTCAGTGTAACACTCCATTTTCTTTGGTGTAGTTGTGCTTTTTCAGTCTGGTCATGTGGTTATTGTGTTTTCCTGTCAGGAATGGCAGGAATTTCCTGCATTTCCTTTGGGAAGCCAGCAGGCTGTTTTGATTGGGTGGGTGGGTGTGGGTGGGGGTGGGGGGTTCTGTATCTCCACCCTCTGCACCTCCCAGCATCTTATGTGGCTTACCCAGGCTCGCACTGGAATGTCTCGCAGTAGCCTGCGTGTTCATGTGTAGAGGAGCACTGCAGGGTGAGACAAGGATTGTTTCACTGTCAGTTCAGTCAGACATTTAGGAGGCCTCTGTCTGCGTTGACTGATGGACATTGGGAGCTGTGCAGTATTCAGTGGACATTTGATTCACGCATCCCGCCACCAGAGATACTGGGATGGGTGTCCTGCACTTGCCTTCATAGGACCTGCTTACTGATAGTGTCTAATCAGCTTGGCCTCGTGACAAATGTCTCTTGCGCCTTGAGCACAAGAGTTTTCAAGGCACAGGAAATCTAAAGGGAGGTTGACATTGGGATGTCTGCCTAGCCTTGCATCCGTTCCCAGTCAGAAGCACCTACTGTAGAATGTTTGCACCGTCCTCCTCAGGTTGTTCCTGGGTTGATTTGTGCAGTTTTAATAGTCTAGTTCAGCCATAACAATGTTAATGGTGGCCTATCTGGCTTGTATAGTGCTTGTATATTGTATGGTGTGTATCACTGCAATCAGCCAATCCACCATTGCCATGACAGCTAGTCTGTGGAGCCCTGTTGCTTGGCTGTACAGTGCATGCTTGCGTTCAGCTCTGTTATGCATTCAGCCCGTTTCTCAGACAACAGGAGAGTGATTCTTGAGACTCAAGCTGCAGGTTGCTGATTTGACCCACATTTCTGCTGCTGTGGGGAGGCAAAAGGGGTCGCGGGGTCACAGTGCAGCTGGCAGTGCACTGCCTAGGGCAACACATTGGGGATGGGGGGGCGGGTGGTTGTGGGTGTGGGTGGAGGTGGAACGCAGCCTCTGTATAGGCTGCCTGGCTCCCTGCCACCCCTCCTGTCATTGCTCGCCGGGAGTGGGGAGCCAAGACTGTGAAATGGAGGTGAGGGGGAGGGGCACAGGGGCCGTAGGCGGCGTGGTGGCTTGCTTTTCCACCCTGATCTATTTCTACAGCCCCCTCGCTGATGACCTCAGCTCTGCTACTCAGGCCTGTGGTGTGGGTCTTGGAAAAGAGGGGATTTAATTAATGCCTGGCTCTGTGTAAGCCATACAGCCGACCATGATATCGCTTTCTCTGGCCTGTGACCTGCCAGCACTGATGGGAAGTGCCACGTGCTTCTCATTGGATGTGAGCTGTGCTTTATTATCCACTTATTAGATGCCTGCGAAAGGGTCAGTCCGCTCCATTTGTTACTGGCTGTTTGGCTGCAGGTGGCCTCGTTGTGGGCACTCACTGCTGCTCCCACTCTATGTACATATGACCCTGGGTTTGGGAATCTGTATAAAAACTCTGTCCTGAGATTACAGTAACTCTGGGCATAGGAATCTGAATCCTACGAGTTAATTCAGGATCAGTTTTGTGGCCCTGACTTGACAAAAGGTCCCTTTAATTGGCTCTGAATTTTAGCCAGTGTTGGAAGCCAAGAGTTAAAATTTAAATGTGAAAATGATCATTTTCTGCATTTTACTATGGTGCTGCTGAGTTTAATTTGAACCCCATTGTTTTCCATAGAGCTGCAAAGTGGTATTTCAGCACAGAGACGTCTATGGTGCTATAAACTGACACCTTTACATAGTGTGTATGTGCCTACTATATGCTTACAGTTTTATGCTCAGTTTCAGTTTGCAGTAGTTCAGTTTCCATGGTGTGCCAGTGTACGCAGCTGCAGTACCCACCCTCTAGCCGTGAGGCACGTCCTTTGGCGGTTCTGCGCATTCCAGTGTGGCCACTGCGCACGGAGCACATTACCGTGTCTGTCTCCTGCCCTACCCTGTCTTGGCAGACCTTCAGGAAGGGCACTACCTGGGATGAACCCCCCCCCCAGTGGGGAGTGGCCGCATCTCATTGTTAGGTCGAGGGGTGCATGTGGGTTCACCTCAGCAGTTACACAAAAGCTGCCCCTCCCTTCCCCATTCCTTGCCTGAAACGCCCAGATAGCATCATTCCTGCTGTCAAATACTAGCAATGAGTATGAGGTTACAAGCCGAACCTGCAGTTCTGAGGAATGCAAACGCTGCCCCTGAGCCCCCGAGAGTGACCATGTTAACACCCCGCTCTCCATACTGACATCGCTCAGACGAAGATGGAGCCTCTCAGTGCAAAGGGTCACAAGGCTAAGGGGAGAGTTTCTTTTTCCAGTATTTGCACGATTTTAAAACTCGCACCTCGTTATGCTGAGCAGAAAGAGCTGTGTGTTGCATAATGTGACTGACTCACCCTGCTGGTCTGTATTCTCAGTGTTCTACCATGGCTGAGCTATATTGTTTGTCTGTGTGTGGTTAGAACAGCACCTTCAGATCTGATTCGTTTCTACTTTCAATGAAATGGAGGGCGCGCGCCTGATTTTTTTATTTATACCATTCGGATTGCTTGCGTACTCCTGCTCTTCACAGCCACTCACAGTAGAGCACTGGGGCGTCTCATGATGAAGACGTGCTGTGTCACTGGCTGCTGCCGAGTGCCCCGGGGAACCAGTCTAATAGCCCTTGACACTAAAGCTCTGCTCCTGCATGGTTTTTCTCCCCTCTGCATTTTGGGAAAGCTCAGTGGATATTCTCATGTGAAGGAAGCCGCCTCTTTTAAGTGAATCACTTATGATCTATGTCAGATTTTTTTCCAGTAGGTCACTGGGAAATACGGCCAGAACGAGGCGTGCTCAGTAAATGGATGGTTGGTGGAGTGACGGAGGTGGTTCCTAAGGCTCCACATGCACTCTTGTCTTCCTTAAAGTGTTGTTATGTAACAGCATGCGCTTTTGTGTTCCATTGCTGGGGGGAGTGGTTGGGCTTCCTGTCGGCAGTTCATATGCAAATCGCATGGCTGACATTTGTTGACGATCCCCAACCTTAACCTTCCTGTACTTGTCTGTCGGTCCCAGTTCAACTGGTGTCTGGAGTGGACCATGTGCTCAGATGGAAGCGAAATGTTACTGACATGCGCCTCTTTGACCTGCAGCATTCGGCCCAATTTTCTGCTCCGGCGTATGTCAGGACATTTTGGTCTTGGATGAAATGGATTTCTGCAGCTGTTTTGCAACACAGAGTTCATTAGCCTATGCTACCTTCACTGGAATGACCAGATAGAAATTGCAAGGCTGGCAGTGTTACTACAGTAACACGATACTGGCATCGTACTTACTCCTGAATAATAGTAACAATAAAAATAAGGCTGGGGGGGTGACAGCTAAATGTTAGTTTTGGTCCCATACTTTTGCTCAGTGTATTAAAGAGTAATTTTTTCCATAGCTGGAACTGAATCTGATATTTGGGACATGTTGACATGCCCTGGATCACTGATGATTTTCAATTAAAGCCAATGACACAGTAATGGTGTGAACTGAACAACTCACCTGTTTTTGTCTTTAATGTGATGACAGGGTGTCGAGGCTATGGGCTGGCTGATAGACACCCACCTGATTATTATTTTTTTTCTCTTGCAGTATCACAGTCCAGTAGTAGCTTAAAGAAACAAAGGAGTAGAAGCATCTTCAGCACATTTTTCTGCTGCTTCCGGAGCTACAATGTGGACCCTCCCTCCAACAACAATGGCAGCTCCCTACCGCCACCTGTGGAAGAGAATGGGACACTCCCCAAGGTGAGACTGCTCACTGCTTCCCTCTACAGGATGGAATGTGAGAGAGTAACCTGCTGGCAACAACTGTGTGAAAGGGTTACAGACCCACTACTGAGATTTTCTTATTTCAGTGTAAACTTTTCTGTCTAATTTTCCAAATCTTGCTCGCCTCCTGCCTTTTGTCTTATACCCACATCTGAAGTGATCCATTCTTTTCCCCCTTTACTGAGAAATAAAACTGACACAAACACCTAGGCACTGAATTGTCAGTCAGCAGCATGTGTTTCCCAGCACTCTGAACTTGCTGAACCCAGGGAGTGGTGAGCAGACAGGCCAAGTGGATGGGCAGGCTTCCCAAGGCGCGGGGTCCAGCAGTTGCATACTCGCCCCGCTTGCGGGGCACTGTGAGCTCTTTAATGCCCATAAAGTGAGTCTTGTGCTTGTCCCAGATGATGGATGGCCCTGTCTGCGGACCTCACAGCCCTCGTACACTGGCTGCTTTGTGGCATGTGACAGCACCCCCACCCAACCTCTCTGCAGCGTGGGGCGTAACTCCCAGGAAGCTCCATCCTCTGGGATCTGCGAGCGTCACGGCTCTCTAGGCCAAAAGCCAGCAGAGGGAGTTTACTCGTGTGACAGGGCGGTGGTGTGTGGAAAAGCCAAACGGGAGTAGTTGGAATCTAAAGAGCCATCCCCTCTGATGGGCTTACAGGGACTGCATGCGTTCCAGTAGGCTTCCTGCTACTGACACATGATCCCACGCTGCATGGCCATTCGCCTCAGTGGAGCAGAACAAAAACCATTGGGTGTCTATTTAAAAATACTATGATCTCAGAGTGGGAAAATCAATGCCACTGTGGTGGTAGTGAAGTCTAAAATGGGAAAGGTAGGCATCCTGAGCAACACTTACCCGGCAAAATCTGATTTTTGATATGCAATACAGGCTAAGATAGACAAGCAATCAGCTTGCTTTCACTTTGGACAGGAAATGAATGCCATGTGGTGGATTGTTGATGTTGTTGCATAGATTTTCAGTTCCGTCAGTTTGCTCTTAAGTCTGGTGACATATCAGATAACAACATTCCATTTCAGTGACTTGGGCTGAACAGCCCTCCAGGGTGAAATGCCAAAACGACGTGACCATGTAGCCAAAGGTAATGTCCTCGGAGGCATAACTATCATCCCTCGGATTTCCCGGCTGCAATCGCTCGTTGCCACGCCAGCTGGCTGAGGCTCGCTGCTCCTTATAGGATCCCATGAAAGCTGTGCCAGGGGCGAACTTCCCCAGCCTTTCAGGCCTTACATGGTGAGGGGAGAGTCGAGCCCCGGGCAGAGCTCTGGCTTTGTGGGTCACGAGCTGGCACCCCGCCCTTCCCCGCCCCGCTCTGCGCCCTCTGGGCTCAGTGTTGTGCTACTCTCATCACAGTCATCACACACTGGTGCCCACAGGCCCATCACGTGGGGTGTGTACCCTCCCGCAATCTGCTACTGACCCTATGCTCTCTTAATCTCTGTGGGTGTCAATTTATACCTGCTCCCTTCAACCTCTGCGGCTTGCTGTGTGTGAAAATGGTGTTTGCGTGGGGGATGGTGGATCAAGCAATAAGATCAAAGTACGATGATATAAACTAAGAGCAATGGCATTCCTCAAGACAGCACTTAGAGACAGATGCTGCTGCTCAGTGTTAAGCCAGTCAGGTTTCTCAGTGTAAAGAATGCTGTTATCTAAGCTTTGTGTGTCTCATGCCAGTGTCCATGCCCTGACTGTTCACAATTTCCATGTATTTGTTTTCACTCCCCAGTGTGATTCGGTCCAGGTCATTCCCATCCCCACTGTATGTATTATTTTTATTTTCCTTTTGCATGCTTCTCTGCTTTCTCGAAGAATTAGATGTAGCTGCATGTCTGATCTGAGATCAGTGGAGCTGCTTTGCACGAGTAGGTGCTACTGTATTCCGGTCTCGCCTTTTAAACCTGTGTCCCAAGCAGACCTGCTCCTGTACCTGACCACTGAAATTGGAGAGATGAAAATTTTTGTTTTATATGCTGATGGGTAATAAGGCTGAGGTGAACGTGATGGCTGTGCTCATCACATGAATTTGGGATGTCCACACTCTTCCCCTGCTCCTATATTTGCCTGTGACTTGCGCCGTTTGTTCTTTTGAGCATGTGGACAACAACATAAATTAATGTAAAATGGTCCCGCTTCTGAGAACTAATTCCCTGTCTGCATTAGCCCAGTCTTGTATGATTGGGATTGGTTGCCTTTTTTTGCCCTGTAAATCCCAAAAGCCTTGTCCTTAGTTTGCATGTCGTTTCTAATTGTAATAATAATGCATGATTACAGGCATTGATCTAGGTATCATTATCCATCTGTAAGTGCTTCCAAAGCCATCCACTCTGATAGAGTAGTTCATGATATGCTCCTTTCGGGGACTGTTACAGAAAACTCCCCAATCTAACCATTCTAAATTTGCATGTCCTGCCAGCTGTTCCCGCAGGGAAGAGTACTTTCCTGCTGATGTTATGAACCAGTACCTTTTGATGTCAGCTTTGATGGTGGCATGTAACCTGTGTGTTTTCTACATGCAGTCATAGATGCCATGGTTTTAATTCATTGTTGGGTTGTGCTAGTACAGTGGTACCTAGCGTTCTCGAACTCACTAGAACTCGAATTTCTTGAAAGTCGAACAAACCAGTTTGACCTAGAACTTGATCTGAATATCAGAAGTCGAACTGTGAACGCTGACCTAATATAAATTGTACGCGCCAGGAAATGAGTCATACTACAATGCAATTCTTATTTGAATGCCTTCTTCACAGACTTGATGATTAACCAAATAAAGCAGCGCAACATTACAGTAACTAACGATAAATAAACCACTAACTTACGTGTACTATTAGATCATTTATGTCATTTATTTAAACTTTATTTTACCAGGTAAACTAACTGAAAACCAGTTCTCACTGTTTTACGTGATATTCGGGAGAAATAGCAGATTATACATCGGAACTGCCTGGGATACAAATGTCATGCGTGTAACTAAACTCTTCAGCCAATAAGGGCAAAGGTGTGTCATCACGGAGGCGGTTCCAGTTTGTGCAGCCGGGTGAGAGGTCGCAACCGTAATGCATTGTATCAGGATCAGAATGCGTTGCTTTAAGCCAGCTGTAAGCAAGTCGAACGCACCCAATGACAGGACTGGGGAAACAAACTGAAACGCGAACTTAATATAGAGGACTAATGACAACAACCAGAAACAGCTGATCACATGGGGATCCCACACGAGGTTAACGAGGGGGCGTGGCACACGGAAGGAGGGGACGATCGGAGCAGGACAGGGGTAATGTTGGGATAAGATCTTTATCGTTTGGAAGCCATTATGAAAAAATGCTGCTGCTCTTGTTTTATCCTGTTCATTTTGTGTTTAAATGCTAAAAAAAAAAAAAAACACATTTAGGTGTAATTTTGAGGGCCGGGAACCAATTAATTGGTTTTCCATTATTTCTTATGGGAAAACTTCGATCAGAACTCAAACTTTTTAGGATTCGATCTGGAGTCCGGAACGGATTAAGTTCGAGAACCGAGGTACCACTGTATTATTATTTACTATAAGCTCTGCAAAAATGCATTTTTTTTTGTCTAATGAAAAGCAGCAGCCTGGCATGCACAAATCAGTCCTTGAATAGAAATACCTCTTGGTTGTATTTCTATTGATGTAGTATTCAAAAATATGTTGGAATAGCAATTTGAACAAAAATTAGCAAACATTTTTAGCTTTTTTTTTTTCCTCCTAACTCCTAGCTTCGAAAGCCACCGTTTACTGAAAAAAATCATAAAATTGGACTGATTTTGGCACAGTCCTGCTCTATGTGTGTTGAGTGAATAACGATATGGAAATGGTTTGGATATGATTGCTCATTGCTCTGGGTGCTGCCCTACGAAGGTTTGACTGGTGTGTTAAATAACCTACTTTGAAGTACTGCATGTCCACCAGTAGTTAGTTTAAAGCTAGGCTGTGATAAGCATTTACTTGTAGGATGTAGTGTGCAGCAAACTGATGTAAAAGGGAACAGTTCATGAACTCTGTTTGCAAATGTGTGATTTTATAGGAAGCAAGGGCTTTGCTCAGCAGGTGGAAAAATGTATCCATTGGCGCTAGGAGCTCTGAAATATTACATTTTGAGGTAATTAAAAAATGCATGATAACCTTAGAGTATAATGTGCCGTAGTCAAAGAAATATATAATTGGATTAATATGCTAAAATAAAAAATCTGCATTATTGGCACTTTTGTTAAATATTACAGTACAGTTTTTGAGATGAGTTTGGTGACTATCATTTAAAGTCATTTTCTCCTCTGTTTGCTGGGGAAACACATTCACAGAAAAGTCCTGTGTACTTTTTCTGTTGTTGAGCTTTATTAGTGAAACCAGTGAATATGTTAGACTGAGCCTGAAGGCTTCAGTCCTGCCGTAGAGCAAGAAGCTTCATAAACTTACAGTAGCCAGTTTGAAATGGGAATATTTCCCGTTTTCCCTTTGTTTCACTTGTCTAATAGGTCTATGCTGTGCTTTGGGTTTCTGAATATATAGACTAATTACTACTTTTCATTTAGCTAATACTTCTGTTATCTCTGGTGTTTGTGAATAGGCCCTATTTTTGTACTATTATATATTGCTTTGTTTTTGTGATATTTGGCTGTTTCTCAATTTTTTCTTCTTCTTAATTTCTAAACTGACTTATCCCCTTACAGGAAACTCCTCTGATTGCACTTCTGTCCTGGTTCAGCATTGTTCTTACTTTTTACAATAGCTGAAAACGTCCCTTATTTTTTCCTCATTGTATTTCAGAATCCCAGAGGCTTATCTGTTCATTAAATATGCACTCATATTAATTCATTGGTCTTTCTATCCAATTTATTCCAAAGGAGTAAGACTTCACATTGCAAAGAGAAGACATTTATTTTTTTATCTGGATTACCTTTCTCGGCTTTTAAAAAAAAAAAATACAACTTGTATAGGCTGCAAAATGTAATGTAAACACTTCAGGTATTTAATAATAACATGTACATATCGATAATGTAACTAGGCTGATATTTGACGAGGGCTTAGTTTTTAAATGGTTTCGCTTCATAGGTAGCTTTGACAGCACTGGGGACTTAATCTCTTGATTTTTTGTCTCCCCAGCTCATATATTGACTACCCTTGTTTTCTCAGCTCGTTTCTTTCTCAAAGGAAATGTTAGATGTTAAAACAAATTGTTACTGAAGCGTGTTTTTGCACGCTCTTGCATCAGTCTTGCCTGAAAGTAGAGTGCCAAGGGCTCCGCTTCAGTCTTCTGAGTGTTAAAGATGCGTGCTTTCGTTTACTTATGCACACTAGAGAATATTGACTGTATAGGTGTCTTTGGAGGCAAAAGTTAATCTTTCTCCAGGTTTACCCCAGGCTATGCATCTGTCCTTCATCTCCTCCCTCAAAGCCCTATAACCAAGGATTACAAGTTGCAAGTTCCCCGTCCTGAGGGATGATAGCATCTGGTTATGTAATATGCAGTGTTTGGTATACCTGTATTAGCATGCACTTTCATTACGTCCATCTATTACTCCAAATTAGTGTCCAATGATGAAGATGCATCAACCTTCTCTGAAGGAAAGCTCGAAAATTAAACTTATTTAGAGTATAGACTCTGAGCCGCTGGGGTAGTTTCAGCTCTAAAATAGCTCAAGTATCATTTGTGGTAATATCTTTTGGGGTTGAAGTCTTCAGATCACCTTTTGTTTGGATGACATTGAGTGCTGTGCTCTGGTTCACTTGGGCCAGTGATTCATGTCCTTTCTATACATGATGAATTTCAGCCCTTGGAAAGCTTCCCGAATCATTAAGCGCCGTGATCAGTCACCTCTGTCTCACCATTTTATCTTGGTGCACATCCTCTCTCCGTCTTGTTCTCCCTCTTCCTCCTCTCACACCTCACCACTGTCTGGTGGTGGTTCTTGGAGCTCATGATGTTTGTGGTTCCTACCCCTCCAGCCCCCAGCCAAATACCTCCTACCTGAGATGAACATATCGGACTACGGCAAGAAGTGTGTTGTGATCGACTTGGATGAAACCTTGGTGCACAGCTCGTTCAAGGTAACGTGACATCAAGCCCAATGGCGTGTCCATTTATGTTGCTACTGTGCCATATGAGTGTGCCCCCTTTTCTAGATGTCAGATGGTTTGGACATTTTGTTTAGTGTGAGATTTCTCAGATGTGACCTTTTCTTTAAAAACTCCTCCTCCACCTTACGGTCCATCTGACCTGGCCATCGATGCCAATGAGAGTGAGCCCACAGCTAGCAAATCACGCTTCGGGCCGGCAGACGCTGCCTCCTAGCCTGAAATTTTCTGAACGTATGTGAAAAGGAGAGAAGCAGAACAGCACCAGATGTGCAGAAGCATCTAGCTGTGCCTTTCCCAGTTTGGCTTGATGAAAAGTTTCTCAGGTTCCCTGTCTCTCCACTCATTGCAGTTCTGTAGTTTAGAATGTTCACGAATGGTGGCAGTAAATGTCTTCCTGCCATCCTGTTGTCTGTGAAAATGGGATACAGAGCGGGAAAGTGGGAGGGAAGAAGAGGGGTGGAGGGAGCTGTCTGGGTCGGAATGGGGCCCACAGAGGGGGAGAGGACAGCAATACACACTTGAGTACACAAATACACACACACGCGCGCGCACACGCACACTCGAGCAAACACAGGGGTGTGTCCGTCTGCAGATTCAAGTCCTCACGCAGACCATCAACATTCAGCGGCGAGACATTTTACTTCAAGGGACTGAGCTCAGTAGCAGAGGTTTGCTTTATCACTTTTTTCATTCATGCTAGAAAATTCTTATGTTTAAGTAAGTGCTCACTTCTCTGTGCAATTTTGTTAAACAATCAGCAGCAGACTTAGAAATGGATTTGATATGCCTGGGTTTTCTGAAAGTGACTGATGACTTGAGTGAGAGATGGGAACAGCGGTCTTACAGTGAAGCTGGTGAGCGCTCATCCGTTCTATTTAGGCGAAGGTCAATATGAGTTATGGGATTATTATTATTTTTTTGTGCCATTTGCAGTTTGTGATCCAGATCTGCTTTCAGTACTCAGGCTTTATATCTCTGGACACTTTGATGTTAGCCTGGCAGGCTGAAAGATGAACTGGCGTTGTGTTTCTTTATAAGGAGGGGAAATTAGGTTTGGCAAAGAACTGGAGGCATGCAACCTACTGATGTGTGAGCTGTGGGAATACTTATTGCAACGTAAGGGTGTGAAGGATGCACAACTGTTTTTTTTTGCTATGATGGACTGTTTTCCAAGTGGAGTCCTCTAATTAGACATTTAGGCATTTGCCCCTTCCTCCTTAATGCAAACGTTCCACAGAAGGTCTGCATTCTATCATCCAGAATCTAAATGTGTATGAACTAAGAGCACGGTCACAGGCCTTAAGTCTGTCGAAAACAGCTTGTTTTCATGATGGGTAGAGTGCTGGTCTGAAAGGGAGGGCTGCATTCCAATACTCTGACCGAGTGCTGGAGCCTGCTAAGAAAGAGCACCATCGCCCCCTGTTGCTGAGTCTTCATACTGCCTCCAGTTTCCAAGTTTTTTTTTTTTTTTTTGAACAAAACGTCTGGTACAGATACTTTCAAATGTTAACATTTTATCTGAAGGTAATATGTCAAGAACAGAAAGAAGTAGATCAAAAACAGATGTTTTTCTGCAGCTTTCCCCGTTTCTGTATGCTGTTTAACTCTGTTGAAATATTATGAATGAAGTCTTGTTTCTAGTTACTGTTTAACCTGTACTCAGTCTTGACAATGAATGAGGTGACTTTCAGTTTTTTAAAAAGGATGATGATGTCTGTCCATGAACATTTTGGATTAATGACGTTTGAGTGAAATAGATGGTTGTCAGTAGGTTATGAAGCCAAACTACAATTTGTCTGGAGTCTGGGGGGGAAATGTGGACAGCTGCAAATTTACTCCCCATGCGTCTTCTCTTCTTTTTGCAGCCGATAAGCAATGCTGATTTCATCGTGCCTGTGGAGATAGATGGTACAGTTCATCAGGTACTGTGCTAAAACACCACTAACTGCTTTATTTTAGTCTCCCAGTGGTCTGCCTTGGTGTTTAATTTTACCTGCACTTGGTCTTCCTCTTCTAACACATGTGTTTTTAGTGACGCATTTCACATTTCTCTCGCTTAAACTAAAGGCCCTCTTTAAAATCCGCCTGTGAAAAATGCTGCATGCTTTTGAAATGGGATGCTGTCGCCGGAGAGAGAGGAGGAGCAGGGGCGCTCAGACGTGGCCTGCGTGCGGACGGCGTCACAGCCTTCCTCCTGAAGAGAGAGGCTCAGGCCTTTCCAGTCTCCATGCCTCTGCAGAGTGATGACTGTGACCTGGTTCAAGTAATCCAGGATAGGCTGTGTGCACCCAGGTTGGCCTATTCATGATTACTTGCACTAGGAGCTAGCTCCATAACCACCAAAGGATACTGGAAGAGCCATGAGGAACGCCGATTCCCCCTGCATCCCTGGCTTCTTCCAAAGGAACCTGTGGGCTTTGCTTGTGTCAGGACCCTATCAGACAGCTGGTCGCCCTGGTGTGCTCACCCAGCCTTGACCCCCTCACCTCCTCATGGATGTGATTTCTGACTCGTTTGACACCTGTCCTGTTATTTTTTCAGGTCTATGTACTGAAAAGGCCACATGTGGATGAGTTCCTGCAGAAGATGGGGGAGCTGTTCGAATGCATCCTTTTTACAGCTAGCCTAGCCAAGGTTTGTCCGTGCTAATGCAGTCTTACAAGACGAACGTCAGAATGGCTATTCTGGCTGCGTGGAAATGTGTGTGAACCATCTGCCCTCGTTTGATTGCCATCTTCGTGTTCCTCTTTCTGTCTCTGTACTCCGCCGTGCTCGGTCTCCAAAAGCCAGGGTGAGTGTCTCTGGGGACTGTCACACATGGACATCTGCTTTCTGCTTGGCTCTCCCAGCCAGTTGAGTGGGTCATAGACGGCAGAGCGTTTAGGTGTATTTAGCGTGAGTAACAGCTTAATGCTGCAGTAGATCAGTGTGTAGAGTTATGGCTTTAGTCTGGTAGGTGTGGGTGTGTGTGTGTTTGTGTCTGTCCCCTTTTCTGAAAGGGGGCAGTATCAGGATAGTACAATGTCATTGTCCTGGATGTTGCTCCAAAAGTCTTCCATGTGTAAAATGTATTGAAGAGAAAGTTTGTGTTAAGTTACTAAGGTTAGCCTGTTGCAAACCTCAAGAGAAATAAGCTTGCTGGCTGAGTACAAACACACAGACAGACCCTAAACAGATGATAGTCTGAGCCAACTTTTAATCACTAAGAACCGAAGGACTTCGATTGAATAGCGAGGCGAAGGGCTGAAAACTTGGAGGCCTTCCCTGTAAAAACCTGCTGCTCTTGCTCCTCAGAGTTCCAGTAACTATTACCTCCAAGGTCCGGGGCGGAGTGTTCACCAGTCTGTCAGGCATGAGGCACAGGAGGAGCTGAAAAATACCTTCTTTTCTTTGGCCTTTGCTGCTGTCTCCGATACATAACTTAGGTGCAGTTCAGGTGAGACCGCAGTTGTCACATGGGCTGCTGCAGCTCACAGCAATAGATTAGACAGATGACACCCCTCCCCGCCCCAGCACAGTTTGCAGATCCACACTCATCACAGTCATTTTCGTGATGTACTCCTGTTTTGTTCCTGTGCATTGTAGACACTTCCAATGAACATCAGCAGGCTCGCTAGGTCATTATGGAACAGTTATATGCAAGAAATCTGCCTTAGGATGAGTCCAAATGAACCATGTGTTGCTGATGAACATGGTAGCTAGTTTGTAGTGAAGCACCTGCTTTCATTCTGCATTCTGTTGTCTGCTATGGGATTGAGGAGCAGTTAGCGCAGTGGCATCAGAGCTGAGGCTCATACGGGCTGCTGAACGGGTATGCTCAGGGAGCCTTCGAACCATGCTCATGGGTAGGATTCCTCTAACGAGCTGCTTCTTTGCAGTATGCGGACCCTGTGGCGGACCTCCTGGATCAGTGGGGGGTGTTTCGAGCCCGGCTGTTCCGAGAGTCCTGCGTGTTCCACCGAGGAAATTACGTCAAAGACCTGAGCCGATTAGGGAGGGAGCTGAGTAACGTGATCATAGTGGATAACTCGCCCGCGTCCTACATCTTCCACCCGGAAAATGCAGTAAGTTCCTCAACCTGCACTGCTATGAAAAAAATGCATTATGCCACCAATGTACTATTTCCTGAGTCAGCGAGGTTCCCACCGTCATCTTTACAGCACTCTAACATGAAACAAATTTCTCTGATGACAGCTCAAATATTTTTGACAAATGTACTGTTCATGAAAGATGTGGACATTGCTACTAGTGCCGCAGTTTCCATGGCAATGAAAAGATTTCCATGGACGTTTGGTGCACTGTACACATGTTTGCTACTGCTGCTGATCCAGGGAAGTTTCTGCTAGTCAGTCTTTCTAAGGGAAAAGGGAGGGTGGGACTCACCACTTGCTGGCTTTTTGTGAATAATTCACGAGGTGACTCACCACTTGGTTTTCCTGCTGAGAGGGTGGTGCAGGGCCATTTTTGGTTGTGGTCTGGGTGTAGCGAGTCTGAGGCTCCTCTCTCTCCCCTGCGTCTGGCAGGTCCCGGTACAATCGTGGTTTGACGACATGACGGACACAGAGCTGCTGGACCTGCTCCCTTTCTTCGAGGGCCTTAGCAGAGAGGAGGACGTTTACAGCGTGCTCCAGAACCTGAGGGGCAGGTAGCCCGGTCTCCAGGGACTCCACCCGTTCTTGCCCCCATCCCCCCCAGCATGGCTCAGGTCCTGTCCTGCAGCTGCCTGAAGTGGGCGCCGCAGAATCTCACCACGGAGAACCCCCCCTGCCCCACCAACTCTCCTGTTCTGATGGCACCCTGAGTGGACAGAATGTTTGCAGTGCACTCGACATATAGGGATCCGGACTCTGGAACCTTCCATTGGGCAGAACCAACGTGTACACCCACAGACATGCATTACATATATATTTCTAAGGAGGGAAATCAGAAAAATGTTCTGAAAAGGACTTACTTTTTTAACCAAGAGACAGTTTTACTATCCTGTTTAAGTTCTTTATATGTACCAAAAACAAGCTTTTTAAGGAACGTGTTAAAAAGCTATGCGGTTTTTGGCCACTCCATCGTTGCTATGCAGGCTGTCTTCTCTTGATCTCCAGTAGTTTAAACAACTGTGATTTTTCTTTTCTTACTGAATGAAGTGCCTTTTTTGAATGTTGTTTTTACGGGGAAAACATACATTTTGTACACGGCATATTTCCAGAGAACTTAAATCTTTTAATGAATATATGCTTTAAAAATGAAAGTGGATATGAATCTTTATATTAAGCACTGTTATTTATGCTAAAGATTTTTTAATACCATTCGACGCTGGGTACATGTCTCCATAATATTCTGATCGGTGTTTCTTTCAGTTGCCTGTAACTTTTTTTTTTTTTTGCCATTTATATAGAGGTGGTTTTTTTGTTCCTTTCTTTCTGATACATAGAAATGTGCTCGTGTCACCATAGCTTTCACTGAGCAGGGTGGTGCATTTGCATTTGTGATGCTGTTAGTTTTAGTCTTGGTCGTAGCTCCGACAGGGGCGACCCCTCGTATAATAGGGCTGGGGGGCAGTTTTAATGCCCGCAGGTAACTAAGTGCCAATGGTTGTTCCTGAATGATGCCAAACACTTTAACTCTGTGTGTTCGTGCCAGATGTGTGTGAAGTGTTCCATCCAGCTCCCACCAACCCCTCCCACCTCTGCCCCCATTTACCCTGATATTAAAGTTGGGAATTCAGTGGAATACAGCACAGCTGGCCGTTTGCCGTGTTCATTCTTAAACATGCCGTGTCGCTGTAGAAGCGTCATCTGCGTCATCATGTGTGCTGCCCCGGGGCCATACGCTGGTCAGCCTGACAGTTGCTCCGCCCCCGCCCCCCACCCCCGAGACAGCCAGAGTTGTGGCGCTGTGCTATCACAGATGTGTCCCTGATCTGTCGGGAAAACCGGCTGTTAGCTGTAAGGAAGGTGCTTCGTAGTCTTTACCGAGTTTCCTGAGGAGAAGAGTGGGTGTCTCTAAATCCAAGTCATTTTTGACCAGGCTCAGTCCTTGAGGCTGGCGCAATGCTGCGTTATGGACAACGTGTGGCGCTGCCTGTGGGCCCCACACTGAACCCCGTACTATGGAAACGCACATATACGCTCATCCCCCTGTGCTTCTTACAGCTCCCCATTCTGTCCCCCGGCCTCTTACTCAGCATTTTCCATTGAATTTTATCTTTTTAATCATTCATTCACAAACCCCTGACTTTTGAAATGGTTTTATTCCCTAAATGAATTTCCACATTTGCCTTTATTCACATGCATACCTGTGTGTACAATGTGTGTATACATGCATGCATGCTGCCAGTGTTACTGAGACACGTGTGATGGTGAGGTGCTGTTCTCTGAACACTCACCTCCTCACATGGGTTGCGGTCGGCATTACTAGCTGGATAATCCATCTATTTCACCAGTTAAAAGTACATCAGTTGCTTGACCTTGACGGTGTTCCAGGGGCTTGTAAACGTCTTGGAGCTCGGAGAATGTGCAGTGTGTCACCATTCCGGTCTCCTTCACTCCCAGTCTCTATTAAGTTGTTTTAAAGTTGTCTTGTCCGTTTTCAGCGTTGCTTTTCTTGCCTCTGGCACCGTTTTCCAAAGGACAGGAATCGCTACACCTGCCCTGTTATTCGGCTGCAGTAGTCTACGTCAGGCTGTCTGGCTTCAGTGCGCTGAGGTGCAGTTCAGTGCTGGTGAGACGTTCTCGTTCTTTGTTCTGAACCAGCAACGTTCCTTTCAAAGAGTGTTCCTTTGCAACATTTTCTCTTCCCTTCAGTGAAGTGTTACATGGTCTGTGGCGTAGATCTGACATATTAAAGCATCTTTTTAAAAAACTGAAAAAATGAAAAATGTTTTTGCGGTTTTGTTTTGCATTGAATGCCCCTTGTTCTTGCTTGTTTGTACCAAATGCCGGTGAGGTGGGAGAGGGCTTTCTGGGGTCTTGCCGTGCTCTACTCCATGGGCTGCTCCTCTGGCTGCTACATCTAATACGCAAGTTTACACGTTAAAACACGAGGGCTGACAAAGCTGTACAAATTTGTGGAAATCTGTGGATTCGGTAAGTTCATGTGCTAAAAATTTTAAGATGAGCGTAATGTGAAAGATTGATGTTATTGCAAATGGTCAAAAAAGTAATTTTAATGTCATAATTGTATAAATATTCATAGTTTTTTATTTCCTGTAAAACAGGCAGCTGCTTTTACTTTGCTTTGGTATTTCTTTTAGTTGAACTTTCCCCACCACTTCTACACTATTGTGTCATAGCTTTAGGAGTTGATCATTTTTACTGTTTGCATGTGAATTGAAAATGGAGCCGGCTTTTTTATTAAACTGTATTCAAATGAATTCATTTCAATTTCTACATGGTGCCCTTCCAAGAGGAGTGACCCCTGAAAACCCAGCAAATTTTAAGTGTTTTATTAAAACAGTGGTGTTATGTCACAGGAAAAAAAGTTTTCTGACAACAGAAAAGAGGAAACATTACCGTGGTGCTTAGGAGGCAGCTTCAGTGCAAATGGGGCCCCCCATATTCGCACTGATGAACTCAAATTAGTGCCGGCGTTACTGCGGGTGCAGACTGGAATGGTGCTAATCTCTGTGTTGTAATGCATTTGTGCATTTAAGAAGGTACCATAGGCAGCAGTACGGGGCAGCCAAGTCGGGAATTTCACACTATTTGAATTTTTAAAGCTCAAGGCAGATGTGTGGGTGTGGGGGTCCAAATTAAGGTTCACGCTTTCCTTACGTATTTGAGAGAAGTTCTTTGTCCCTTACAGACTGATTCATATAAAATGATCCCTTATAAGATGATCCGTATTGAATGATCCCTTATAAAATTATCCCTTATAAAAGGTTCCATATAAAGTGATCCCTTATATAAGGATCCATATATATATTAATACTGGGAATAGCTCCTCTGTGATTGGCTCATATTTGATGTGTCACCAGCATGTCTGTTAACCCTGCAATATCATTTAAGGGTAAGGTTCTGTGCATGTCACATCTGTAATATATGGGTATTAAAATATATATTGCAATATTTCTGCTAAAAAGTTGGGTCCGTCTGGGTCATCCTCACTCATGCCTATCGGTCGGATGCTACAGTAGCTTGGTCCCGTTTCCCCTTACAGCTGAATAGCCACTAGAGGGCTCCATGTAGTCCTTTATGGCTGAGCCTGGCCAAGTCATATAGGTGGCCTGGCCTCCTGATGTTTGCTGGTGAACACTGCCCCCTAGCTTCACTTTGGGGAAGGTCCAAGTGACCTTTTCTGAGTCGGGTACATTCCAGTGTGTTTGATCCCTTCTCACAGAGTTTTGAATCTGCTGTATGGTCAGTCACTAATGGTTTCAGGCTGTGGATATTATTTACTATACAGGTGAAGTCATTTCCAGTACACGATGATGGGAAATATAAACAGCTTATCTCAGTCATAGTTGGGGGGCTGGAGCCTAACAGCACAGGGCACGAGGGACACCCTGAATGGGATGCCAGTCCATCACAGGGTGCACACACTCATTAATCGAGGTTCAAATGTTACACATACAAGTGGTACCTTGGTTTACAAGCATAATTCGTTCCGGAAACATGCTTGTAATCCAAAGCACTCGTATATCAAAGCGAATTTTCCC